CAATTTGTAACAATGAAAATAAATCCTTCATATCAGATATTTACATTATGATTGTTATGAATCGTACAGTTATGAAGTAGCAACGAAAATAATTTTATGGTTGGGGTCACTACAACATGAGAAACTGTATTCTTATTTTCCGGTTTTCTGCTTGTCCCTGGATTCTGGGATAAAAGTGAACTGTTTCCCGGGATCCTGGGACATAATTATTTTTAAGATATACAAACTATCTTGAAATCAAATGATATAATTATTTTTCATTTTTGAAAGTACAGTAGAACCTCGATTATCTGGATTGTTCAAAATAAACAAAAATCTTACGAATTTGCTGATTTGCACTTGGCGAATTACGATACTGTTTATGTATGTGATGGAATGCATAACTTTTTTTTTGTTGTTTCAACATCTCACCCAGCACAGTGACCATAAACTCTTAAATATATTTTGTGTAGTAATAGAAATATAACTTGACATACGTATTTATAAATAATTTATTTTCAAATTACATCATTTCTGTGACCAAGGGCAGTGTAAGGCATGGGCAACGTGGGCCACCGTCTATGCCTCGCGTTTCGAAGGTTTATGCATTACTTAAAAGCCGCGAACGCAATGAAAAAATTTTACTCATCATAAAACGATAAATAGTTTGTCAAACTTTTATTCATAAAAATGCAGTTTCAACTGCTTTTTATTTTATAAAATCCGTCTTCTTGCGCCACCAGAGGGCCTTTTAAACAATAGGTAGTCTGTTAGCGTTGGTCAGTAGTAGTCCAAATTCAATACGAACGTTTGTTTCTTGAAAATTTGATCACGATTTAAATACAGTATTTACTTTTAATATTACCGATATGTCATCGAAAAGAAAACGTGTTGTATTATCATTAAAAGACAAATTAAAGTATTTGTTTCGATTATCCGGATTTTTCCTTATCCAGACTACCTTCATTCCCAATTTGTCCGGATAATTGAGGTTCTACTGTAATTTAATGCATTCTGCAACATCCAAAATCATATTAATAATGCTGTATAAAATGTAAATTAAAAATTACCTTTAATTATGTAGAAATTTTCACAAATAGAAAAAATTTATTAAAGTTTGCTGGAAACTGCATACAACAACAACAAAATGCTTTGAATTGAGTTGAAAATTTAAAAAAAATAAACTTATTCACAAACTTCTAATTTAAAAGGTAATTTTTGTTTTTTAAATAAAACGTAATACAAAATATTAATGTGAATTTTTATAATAAGATTTTAAAAAGCAAAGACGGTCAATACTCCGATTACTCAATCCGATTCTTATTTTAGTAATGAAAAGTCCCGCTACCAAGAATGCTCTTTCCGATTTAATTGATGTTAGTGGAATCGTCTTTAATGCATTTAAGAGAAGACAGATGTTATGTGTTTTCTCACCCTTAACCTCGAAGATTTTGAGTTCGTTTTTGAGATTGTAGTACTTCTTTCACTCTCTAGTATTCTCGATTTGCCTACTTCGGCCGCTTTAATAGCAGAATCAAGCTTATAGCCCGATAATTTGGCAATTCGTTTGGCTTTAATAATCGGGTTTATGAAGAAAAACTTCATACTCGCAGACTTCCTACTCATTTGTATTCTTGCCCAATTTGCACAACCTGGCATTATGCAGTTATCGAAGCTACCGGGCATTGTTAAAAATTAAAACAGCGTAGGCACAATTATTCCAGATATTACAGGTTCCAACAAGTAAAGAATTTTCAAAGTCCCGCCACAAATAAGCTACATAGTGATTATTGATCATTTGTGACGTGCCATAACAAGGAAAAATTTAAAACAAAACTAATAAGTAGGTTTAAAATTAATAAATACAAATGTATTCTGACAGTTTACGAGTTAATTATGCTTTCTATTTGCAAAATTTCCTCAACCTTAACACAAAATAAGAAAAAAGTGAATTTTTAAGAAATTTGCGGGATTTCCTGGGTTAAAAAAACAACCAGGATCCCAGGATCTCGTTTGAGAAACCCTAATCTAGAACAAATACTATGGCATATTCTCCGTGCTGTCGGTCAAGGTGAGTGTGTAGAATAGGCTTGCTATTATAACAAGCATATTGTACATAGGAAACTATGTAGAATAGTGCTTGCCATTGCTTGCACCTCGTAGCTTGTGTAGAGATGAGCCTCCACATCCCTCATAAAACTATAACATCAAATACTCCACGGACGGTCGAGTGGGCTACTCGAGGTCGGTGTGATTGCCTGAGCCGAATAGTTCAATGTGATAGTCTTAGCTTCTTGATAAAAAGCACTGAGTTCAGCGTTAATACAATAATAAGAAAAATCGTATTAATGCTGAACTCAGTGCNCTCCACAGACGGTTGAGTGGGCTACTCGAGGTCGGTGTGATTGCCTGAGCCGAATAGTTCAATGTGATAGTCTTAGCTTCTTGATAAAAAGCACTGAGTTCAGCGTTAATACAATAATAAGAAAAATCGTATTAATGCTGAACTCAGTGCTTTTTATCAAGAAGTTATACAATTTTGGCGTGAGTTTTATTTATTTATCTATTTCTAGTGATAGTCTTAGCAGTGTGCAATGTGACTCCTGATTGTGCCCTGGAAGTAAGCTGATTTTGGAGGCTATATCTCGTAAAGGGTCGTGTGTGGAGGTGGCTTTTTTCTCCTATGGACAAATGCTACAGTTCTGTTAAGGTTTCAACAGTGTCATTCACGTCTGCAGTTGTGCCCATAAAGTTTGAAATACTTCAGTTTTTTAAAAATAAGAAGTTAAATTATAGTTAATGATTAAATATGTATAAATGAGATTTGTTTTTGTTTTATTCTTTTTTTTAATTATATCATTTTAAAAGTAAGATGATTCACTAAAGATTTTATAAAGTATGGTATACCTTAGTTACAGGTAGTGTACACAAGTTCCATTTTATTACAAATCACTGTGATAAATATTTGATGGTTGATATGAGGATGCAAGTTTTTCCTTCTAAGAACTATCAGACATCTTTAAAATATACATGGTCATGAAAAGGCAATGCCCACTAAAGTTGCAGATATTTGGTACATATTTGGAAGAACATGTGACCACTGGTTATTGATGAAAAGATCAAATTCTCCAAGATAGGCAGCAACATGTTGGTCCTCCTGTTACCAAATGTCTTACAGAATGAATGTTTCACTAACAAGGAGAGCCTACGGCTTTGGGGTAACGGATTTTGATGATCTTTGGTGTAGAGGTAGTACACCATGTGAGTGTACTACCTGTAAAATACTAAAGTGCAATACTCAAATATAATCGAGAAAATCGAACTTAAAGTTTTGTTAGCACTTTATATATAAATTATACGTATTTCTATTCGAGCGTCCTGTGGCAGAGTGGTAACGAGTCTGATTCATAAGCTTGAGTTCTCGGGTTCGATTCTCGCGTATAATTTTTTTTTTAATTCATAAATACTTATAATGTATTTATTTATTTACTCATTCATTTATTTCTTATTATTTATTTATTTTAATTTAATTTCTACTATTCCAAGTCTAATATTTTTATACTTTTGTTGACAATAACGGCGCATTCTTGACACCTATGTGTCAACTTTCCCATCTAATTGTTATCACTAACGGTGACCGATCTAATTCTCACTAGGAGCGTTTTTTCTATCGGAGTTCTTTTTCACTCACTCTTTAACAGTTCGTTTCTAAATTTCGACACGAATAGACGTATTTGTGTAGTAAAACTTATTTTGAAAAATTATTTTATAATCAAAAAATGTCGTCAAGAGAAGCAAGTTCTTCACGTTGTGACGAAAAAACTGTTGATGATAACTCTTTATACAGTGATGTAAAATACTAACTTGTAAAGTGCAAAACTCAAATATAACCAAGAAAAACGAATATAATTTATTGAAGCAATATTATATAATTACATATCATTGTCAGATGTACATGATCGTGAATGATACTTATGATAAAAACATTCAAAACAAAAATTCTGTCTACACCAAGAACAACAAATAAATGCTGCTTTTTTAAAAGGTATCATCAACAGTTTTTTCGTCACAACGTGAAGAACTTGCTTCTCTTGACGACATTTTTCGATTATAAAATAATTTTTCAAAATAAGTTTTACTACACAAATACGTCTATTCGTGTCGAAATTTAGAAACGAACTGTTAAAGAGTGAGTGAAAAAGAACTCCGATAGAAAAAACGCTCCTAGTGAGAATTAGATCGGTCACCGTTAGTGATAACAATTAGATGGGAAAGTTGACACATAGGTGTCAAGAATGCGCCGTTATTGTCAACAAAAGTATAAAAATATTAGACTTGGAATAGTAGAAATTAAATTAAAATAAATAAATAATAAGAAATAAATGAATGAGTAAATAAATAAATACATTATAAGTATTTATGAATTAAAAAAAAAATTATACGCGAGAATCGAACCCGAGAACTCAAGCTTATGAATCAGACTCGTTACCACTCTGCCACAGGACGCTCGAATAGAAATACGTATAATTTATATATAAAGTGCTAACAAAACTTTAAGTTCGACTTTCTCGATTATATTTGAGTATTGCACTTTAGTATTTTACAGGTAGTACACTCACATGGTGTACTACCTCTACACCAAAGATCATCAAAATCCGTTACCCCAAAGCCGTAGGCTCTCATAAGATCCATGCTTGCATGCAAGTCAGCAATGTTTTAGATTAGATCTCTTGATGCTCATATGCAACATTTCATCGATATGAAATATCTATTTACACATGTTCTATTTGGTGACCTCTACAGATCAAGTGACCTAGCTGGTCAAAGGCAGAAGTTCTATATGTTGAATCTCTGGTGATGAGAGACTTGTGATCTGGCATTATCTAGATACTAAGAAATGGGATTTTTGAATATATCAATGAATTATACACTTCAAGTTCATGAATAGTATAAAAATTAATAGTACATTATTTACAAAAATTAGTTACAAAAATGTTCTTTTTTAAAAATTGACTTTACAGATGAAAGTGAAAACTTAAATGTAGAAGAACCTAAGAAATTTCTTGGAGATGCATCTTTTGAATCTTTAAAAGATAAAGTCAGTGAAAATACTCTTAAAGGAATTAAAGATATGGGTTTTGTAAATATGACAGAAATTCAAGCACTAACAATTCCAAATTTATTGGAAGGAAAGTAAGTTCAAATCTAAACTTTTATTTAACTTTGAATGCAAATATTTTAATTATTAAGCAAACAATCACACCATAAATAGTAATGTTTGAGTTTTGAATAAAAAAAATTACTATTTTTAGTGTGATTGTTTGCTTGAATTTTGATTTGCATAAATATTTTACTTGTTACTGATAAATTTTACAACTAATGCTATCACTCATTCGTATCAGAAACTTTTAGCTTGTTGAGCCAATTACTTAAGTAATTCAATGTTCTAATTTCACAATTTCATAATTATTACAGAATTAATTAATAATTAAATAACATAATTATTTAGCAATTTGTAATTGGCAGACTGTGATNTGATGAGAGACTTGTGATCTGGCATTATCTAGATACTAAGAAATGGGATTTTTGAATATATCAATGAATTATACACTTCAAGTTCATGAATAGTATAAAAATTAATAGTACATTATTTACAAAAATTAGTTACAAAAATGTTCTTTTTTAAAAATTGACTTTACAGATGAAAGTGAAAACTTAAATGTAGAAGAACCTAAGAAATTTCTTGGAGATGCATCTTTTGAATCTTTAAAAGATAAAGTCAGTGAAAATACTCTTAAAGGAATTAAAGATATGGGTTTTGTAAATATGACAGAAATTCAAGCACTAACAATTCCAAATTTATTGGAAGGAAAGTAAGTTCAAATCTAAACTTTTATTTAACTTTGAATGCAAATATTTTAATTATTAAGCAAACAATCACACCATAAATAGTAATGTTTGAGTTTTGAATAAAAAAAATTACTATTTTTAGTGTGATTGTTTGCTTGAATTTTGATTTGCATAAATATTTTACTTGTTACTGATAAATTTTACAACTAATGCTATCACTCATTCGTATCAGAAACTTTTAGCTTGTTGAGCCAATTACTTAAGTAATTCAATGTTCTAATTTCACAATTTCATAATTATTACAGAATTAATTAATAATTAAATAACATAATTATTTAGCAATTTGTAATTGGCAGACTGTGATTGAATCAACTTTTAGCCTATCCGATGTTGAATAATTTCTCTGTTGTGTGTCATTCCATGTTGAATTTTTTCAATGTTTAGCTTAACACAATCACACATTTTAGAAAAATAATAATTGTGGCTATTGTATCATTCCAAATTGCTTTAATTACAAAGGAGACTATAAATTAACGCAACAAACACTCAGCAATAGTTGGTGAATTTATTTTGTTGATTCACAAAATAAAGTTGAACAAAGGAATACATAGATGCAGGGTACAGCCCTGTAATAACACAAAACCAAGATCAGGCACATAGCAAAAGCACGTTGGCCTAACGAACGCTAACAACCATTTTTGTAAAAAGGCGCGTGGAGAGAGGAGCACCCCTTCTCAATTGCTTTTATTTAAAGAAAAATAATAATAAAATAAATATTGTCTGCTGGCCCAAACACACAAAATAGATATATAAGGAAATGTAAAAACAAAATATTTTTTCAGAAGTTAGTTTTAGTGTGATAAATCTCAAAACAAGGAACAATGCATAGTGGAATGGAACATTGTTCACACTGATAATGTGATTCTACTTGCTTTTTGTTTGCTGAACAGACTTTACAAACTCTGGTTGGATGTTTTTTTTTTCTGTTGCTGGTATAAAACTAGGAAAATGCCATTAGATAAACATAACGGATTTTCGTGTGACGGTTTACTGTGGCAGGCTGTGTGTCTGCTTGTGTGAAACTTTTCCATCACTTCTCTAATAACAGACATATGAAAATCAAGAAATGATATCTTTTTTCTTTTTTTTTTATGTTGGTGATACAAAACACAAGCATTTGTAGTGCAATATTCAGCATATGGAAAAACACTTTTTTATACTATTTCACTGTTTTTCTCATCTATGGATAATTGTGTATCACTCCATCACACAGATCAATTCCACCCATATTTCGATTATATTCTAAAACTCAATTTGGCTTCATTATTGTATCTCCTGATCTGTTACAGTTACCAGAATCAGAATTTGTTGTTACTCATCATACTTAGAATTGTCACATCCCTTTTATCTTTCCAACAAAACTCAGACAATCCATCTTTCTGACAGGTCATAAATTCCCTTTCCTTCAATTTACGATCAGGAAAATTGTGTGGCATTCCAATTCGATTTTTGCTCACAGTTCTGCATACATATGTTTGTTTATCCAGAAGCATTTTTGCTAATGTTGGTGAGGTCAAAAACCTGTCTAAAAAACCTTGTGATTCTTACCCCAAGCAATGGTTTTAATAAGGTAAGCACAACTTTCTCATCTTGCCCATCTTCAAAATTTTCATATTCTGTTGTAGCTCTCGTGTAAACTAAGAAGTCCCAAACATATCCTGTTCATGACTCACAAATTTCAAGCTTTTTATGCCAAAACGAGCACACTTGCTTGGTATATACTGTCTAAATCCCAGTCTGCCTTTCCATAACATAAAACTTTTGTCTACACACACATTTTCATCTGGGATGTAAGCATATTTGAACCTGTGGTGAAAATGATCGATAACATTGCATAATTTATTCAGTTTATCATCACCACCTGAGGCTTGATCATTGTCTGTAAAATGCAAACATGACAATAAAAGTAGAAAGTGGTTGCTTGACATTGCACTCAAAAAATGGTGTAGAAAAAACATCTTCAATTGTAAAGTACATACATAGGTGCAGTTTTCTAATGATATTTGTGGCAAAAAATCGACACACCTGAATTTTAAAGAGGAGATGCTGTTATCGATGGCCTGGCAGGAGTTAATTCACAACACGCTCTAATTCGCCCATCAAACTATGACGGGTAACCAATCGCGCATGCGCGACTTGGATTACGTGAATCCATTCGAACCTACAACTTAAATTTCAAGCTTTAAACGACATGAACGATCGAATTTCTACTTATAACGGACATCGAACGTCTTTAGAAGCTGATTAGAACCTGAAGCAGAACCCAGAAGGGGTTCGAAAACGTTTGTTTTCCGATCTTTTGCATGATCACACCGTAATTGGTTCAAGTGTGTCGATTTTTTGTAGTAGTTCCGGTGTGATAGATAGTGAATTTATTTGATATTTGTGGCCATAATAAGTCCTAATAATTCTCTAATTTCTGGATTTGTTGTCAGTTTCCAGTTTTTATATGGCTATTTTCCCATAAATTGTCACAGTTTATCAAACTATCACTGTACCTGTTCATTTCTTCAACAATCTTGTCCACAAGTTCATCACCGAAAAATACATTAAAGCAGTCAAATGGTGTAGCATTACACTGTAAATTACATTGGATTCCTGCTTGTAGTGTGAAACTGTTTACTTGAGGGCTTCTGAAGTTTGTACAGATCCAACCATCATCACTACTAAATCGCAGACGTTTTGCATTATTATTTTCTCGAGCACAACCACGTGATCGGCTTCTGTATCCACTTGTAGTTGGTATTTCATGATCAATATCACTACTACCATCACTTACACTTTCATTTTGTATATATTCATTATTGCTGTCTGAAAATTCATACTCATTGGAACCTAAATTAAATAAATATTTGATCATTTCTGACTTATTCAGAGCGCTATTTCTCCCAGCCGTTGCCATGTCAAAACAGAGACAAACCAATGGTCTACTTTCCTTTGTGATTTCTTGTAAACAACTGTTTCTATTGTAATATCCTGCTGAGCGAAAACTAGATAATATAACGATTCTTTTGGTATGAGTCACTAATTTTGGAATTCTGTACAAGTAGCAACATATAATGTTAAAAAAATGTTCTGATGCAGAAATAAATATATTTGGGGACAACAGATTAGATCAACTGAGGTCAACACGAGAATACTCAGGAACAACACAGGACAGGTTAAGCTAATGTTTCTCAAAACTTTCTGATCATATAGTATGAAATTAATACTCTTAATTACATACATATCTGTAAAATTACTGGTTTACTATATTTTTTATATCTTGTAACTTATGATTAAAATTAAAAGTACAATTGTCCCTTGATAGTCTGACATTTTGTAATTCGACATGCTCAGTAATTCGAGCACCTCCCGTCAAGGTCACTGTAGTCCCCGTCCCCGTTGTGTGTCTGCTTGCACAGAAGCATGTCACGACATGAATCTCCCCACCCAATTCTTACACGATGACACACATTTTGTGTGTTTTACATGAGCAGTTCTGTTCAAACAGTTGGAATAGGGTTTTTGTATGTGTTTTGTGTGTAAGGTTTTAGTGCCGAACTTTTATTTAATTCGTTTAGAAAGTTCAGTTCAATGGCGAGCACAAGTTCAAAATGAAAGCAGAAAACGCTGACTCTAAAAGATAAATGGGACATCTATATAAATAACTGTGAGATTAGCCAAGGGTATAGGGTTGATCCTATACCTCTTACGGGCTCAGATGAACCGAAATCTGTTCTCTGAGTTTCAGATCGAGAGATCCGATCCTAATCAGGATTTTGACCGGGAGGGCTTTTTAATATTAGAGAGGATATAGATGGCAAAGTCTATATCCTCTCTAATATTCCTAGATCAGGATTCCTAGACACCAGTTAATCAGTTGTTTTACACGCGGATTAACACGCGTTATCCCCAAATCTCGGAGATCGAAGAAACATGGGAACTTAAATATAAATGGATGTTCAACAAAAACCAAGTCATTATGTAAACAAGTAAATATTTAATAAATCAAATAATAATGAATATACAAAGATGGATCTAACCTATCTCTAACTCTAACTTAAACTATCTTATTTCTAACCTCGCGTGAGAGAGTTTACATCAATCTATTCAGAGCTTGTATTACCTTCTGTAGCTTCTGTATCGGCATGAAGATCACCTTCCTTCCTTATGTATACCTCTTCTTGTATTTTCTATTGGGGTTATTCAGTTATCTTTCCTTCCGATTATCTTCTCGTATGTTATACTTCAGTATATCCACGTTGTAAGTCGTATGTATGACTTCTTAAGTATTCTCCCTA